AACATTTAAGTCTTTTTATAAAGATGTCAAATAACTTTTTAATTTTATGAATTTCCTTAATGAGTATAAATAACTTGTAAAAGAAAAACATGGGCATTATAAATTTCTAATTGGAGATGTAGGAGTGATTCCAATAGCCAATTCTTAAAGTTGGCTATTTTGAGTTTAAAATCATAATTTTTTTATTTTTTCAAATATTTCTGTAACTCTTACCAACTTTATTTTTCCTCAACTTAAGAATTTTTCTTAAAGTTATAACATCTGATGCACAAAATAAATATTCCATCTCCAGATTCATGACAGTCTACCTTCTGCAGTATCTAGAAAGATCTGAATTGTTGGAATATTTATAAACAATTATATTAAAAATATTTTACTGATATGTGCTTTTAATGTTTCACATTTGTTCAGTAGTTATAAAGATAGTACTTTCCTGCTTTATGAATATATTATGATAGAAATTTATTAATATTTTCCAAGCTGGGCACAGTGCTGCATACCTGTAATCTCAGCACTCTGGGAAGCTGAAGCAGGGAGGATCACAAGGTCAAGACTACTCTGGGAAACTTTAGCAAGACCCTGTCTTGATTAATAACATGAAAATCTAAAAAGGGCTGGGGTTGAAGTTCAGTGTGAAGGCCCTGGGTTCAATCCCCAGTATTGGAGAAGGAAAGAAAGGGAGGGAGGGAGGAAGGGAAATGTTAACATTTTCTAAATCACTAACCAGTTTTTTTACAAATTAGTTTTGAAAGTGAATTTCACCTTTTTATTTTTCTTATTTTTCCTCTCATCTAATAATTTAGTACTAAACCATTGACCAAATTATAACACAGATCACCTATTCAGTTGTTTTTCAGTAATGTAATCACTAACCACTCTGAATTTTGTTATAATCATTTAACTTTATTTAAATATCATGGCACTCATTAAATAGAAATAATTTTACAGAGAGACAATGCTATAATAACATGTAACTGTCCTTTCTTGGATCTGATAAATGTGAATTGTATTTAATTTGAATTTTTCACTTAAACATTCCATATACTTACATATCTAAAATTCTCAGGGTACTTATTTTGCATCACTAAATTAGAAGACTTAAAAATATAGTTTTTATTTTCAATTCTTTTTTGCTACTTAAAACTGGAACTCTTGGATGCCCTAAGTCAAAATAATTAGTGCAATGTTATTAAAATAAATTTTAACATATGCCAGAACCAAAAATAGGGCAAAATGCAAGGTATCTAGTTATAAATATTATTTTTTATTGATACCTAACTATTGCATATTGTTAGTGTACATAAATGAGCAATACAAGTCCAATCTAATTTCTATTTTGGTATTAACTTGAGATTAAGTGAAATAATAGGTATAAAAACAACATTTTAAAAATTCTGTCTGTAATAGTGATATAAGTGTCAAATAATAAAGTTAGAGTACTATTTCAGAGCTACAGCAATTAAAACAAAAATCATTAAACTGTTATTATATAACATGTATACTTTTGTGTTTGATTCTATTTTCAAACAAGTTTATCTAAAATTAAGAAATTACCAGTTTTATGAAAGAACTGATAAATCATAGGATCATTTGAAAAGTAGCCAATAGAAACTTACCAAGAATACAATTATTGTGTAGCTAACAAAACAAATAAATTCCTAATTAATAATCAGCCTGTATGTGGTGCTTTAAACTATACCAAGTGGTTTTCATTTACTTGTGTCTCATCACAAATACATAAGTGGAAAGAATGGTAGGGAATAATAAAGAATTGAGATTTCACTGGATAAGACTTTTATTAGATACTAGTCAACAAAAATCATAAGCACTCAATATTTGCAACCATAACTGAATTAGGGGACTTTTATAGAATGAAGGAGTGGTATTTCAATAACTATCCTAAAAGAAAGGTGGAAAATTGTTTATGTTGTAACAAGTATAGGTAACTGTTTTTAAATGGAAAAATAATGAGTCATAATAGTGGTGGTAGTCAGGGGAAACAGGCAAAAATTAGCAATTACTTGCACTGAAAGAGAGGTAGAAATGGAAAAGTACAGGGAAATAAGACTCTAGCCTGTATACTAGAATCTTGGTGTACTGTAGAATCATTCAGGGATTCAAGAAAAGGTACTCTTACAGCTACAGTTGTAGATGATGAAGATGGCTTTAGAAATATTTAGAAATGACTACAGAATTAAAGGATACTTATAAAGAAATATTTTGTTTTCCTTTTAACTATTATATTTATTTTTGAAGAAAGTACTTAAGCAAAATTGCCTTTTCACTATTAATTTAAAAATTAATGTATTATTTCCCTAAATTTCAGCTTATTTTTCTTATTAGAATTTTCATTTTGATTCTTGTTATGATCATAACCTATTCATAATTATTTAATTCTTTTTAAAGTTTATTGTATTACTATCCTCCTCTAATTGCATTTTACTTTAAAATAATGACTTCTAGATAGCCCTCAATTTGTAGGTGACTTAAAAATCTGTTCGAAAAATATACCTTTCCCTTGAATTATCCACCACGTATAGAGTAATAGAAAATTAATACTATAAAAATAAAACTAGTTATTTATAAAATTATGGTCCTTAAAAGTGAAAAGCAACAATTCTACATTGTAACTTTATTTTCTAAATGTATGCTTGGCATGGAATTGTACAGTCATTAAAATTATCTCAAATGTATTTAAACACAAAGTTTTAAAAGTTTGAAAAACATTAAGTTAGCTATGTCCATGCAACGCTAGAATAATCTACTGAAAATTAGGAAAAATTAGGAAAATATGAAATTGTCACATAGACTTCAAAATATTACCTGTGTCAAAATATTGAAACTAACCTTTAAAATAGATTTCAAAATATTACCTGTGTTGAAACGTTGAAACTAATCTCATTTAGTTGAAATGAGGATGAACTATGTGGTAAAAACCAAGACTACCCTAAACAGGGAGAATATAACCTATCTGTAGGAGCAGATAAGAGGGACCTTAGAGTAGAGATACTTGACAGTGCACCAGACAAAGGGAATTTATACTAAAGAATGTGGCAAACAAGGCTAATCTGTATTCTTTACTTGCTCATGCATGTGATTTGTTTTTATAGCTCATTCCCTTTTATATCTGTATCTACGACTTTTTTGTTATCATATTCAAGAGTTGCTGAAGTGTTACAGTTGTGAACTCTGAATAAACACAGGGGGAAAAGTAATAAGAAGGCTACTTTAATAGGCCATAGCCCTAAGACAGAGTACTGTATAAACCCCTCAAGTGGCAGCCAAAATGGAACCCAGAAGACAGGTGAGAATAGATAAAATAGATTCAACTAGTCTTTTCTCTTGCTTCGCTAATTATTTCCTATGAAATATTTCTGGAAAATAGCTTCCATTTTACCAGAGAGTTCATATTTCCCTCTACTAAAACACTCAAGATACACACACACACACAGACACACACACACACAGACACACTCACAACTACAAAGGACTATCAATGTGTTTCACATTAACTATAAGACCTACATCCCTCCTTGGCTCCCCCTTCCCAATATGTCCTCCCAAGCAAGAAAGGCAAGTGTAAAAGAAATTAAATTTTTATTCTTGTATGTCCTGTAGTACTACTAATGTGGGAACAATTATGGCCAGAGTCCCCAGCATGATCTGGATTGTTGCCTTTGGACCTATTTGCACATATGAATACCAAAGTAGAAAAGCTGATCTTTAGGGTACTATCACATCTAATTAAAATACTTTCTACCTGTGATCATCTAGCCTTATTCAGTAGCATTATTTTTATTGGACAAACTGAACTATGCTTAGGCTTTGTATATTTTAAGTAGCATAATTTGCCTTGATGATGGCAAACAACATCACCCTTTTTATTTCTTCCTATTAGACTTCTACAAATTCTCATGATAACTTAAAAAAGAAAAAATGACATGGGTTACACCTGGATAATTTCATCCTTATTCTTTTTTGACATACAATCTCCTAGATTCTCAGACAAAAAAAAAAGGCAACTGTTCTCATCATTAACTTTCCATTTTACCATACATAACCCTCATTTTTTTCACTTTCCCATTTTCCTCTATGTAGACTACAGAGACAGCTGGAACCAAATACTGTAAAATATACGAAAAGAAGCTACCATTTCCTCTCAGTTTATAGGAAGAAGAAAACAGGCTAGATTTTGCTTTACCCCTTCTGACCACATTTGCTTGTGACCAAGAAGTGGTTTTTTGAATCCCATCGAAAGGTCACCTTCTGAAGAAGTTAATATTAATTCTCTTTTAACACTGAGTCTTGCCACTGCAATAATTTATAGATAGGAGAGAAATTACAAAAAGAACAAGAAATTAAATAAGGAATAAAATAAAAGAGAAGGAAGAGAAACAGGAAAGCACTGAGAAGCCCACAGTGAATATTAACTTGCATTGAAATTTTAAAATAATAAAATGAAGCAGACAGGATGGAATGTTAACATAAACAAACAATCTGGAAAGAAGACTAACTTCAGAGAAATGGAAATGCCTAGTCTGCATCAACACAATGGCATTCTTTACCAGGAAGTCCAGATAAAATGTCTAAAGTTTCTATGAGTTCTTCTACTTCAGTATGTAAGTTTACCTGCTAAAGAGTCAATTGAGAAATAAGAAACATTCATTGAGGAATATTTGCAAATCCTTAAGAATAGAAACCAAAAATGTATCAATAATTTAAAAATGCATTTTTTTCTATTCTCCTACTCTAATCAAATAAAACTTAAAGGCCAATACAATTTTTAAATACATTTTCATTTCTATCTGTAACATAAGGGGCTCCGTTTTCCTTACTGTCTCTTGCTCCTGGATGATAAATTAGATTAAAGATATCTCACAGCTCTTTCTTCCAGGCTACTATAGTAGTATTCACCAGTTAGAAATTCTAGCACCATAAAAATAGAGAAAAACAAGACAGACCCACCAGTGCTCTAATTTGAAGAGTTACATGTTTCTTACCATGTCTTTTCCACCTGTGACCTCTTATTGACATGCTAGTTACTGCATTTCTTGATATTCTAGAGGAAGTTGGTGTGATTTCAACTTGAATACACTTTGTGCCTTCCTTATTAGATTTTATGGCACCATGAGGCAATGAAGCCTTTATAGCATTAGCAACCTAAGAAAGAAAAAATTGTTTTAAGATTGGCATTAATAGATGTATTATTTTACCCTGAGATAAAACACGAGGATAAATGTCAACAGGCTTACAAAAAGAATATTCTTTCCAAAATACTTCAAAAGATGATGCATAAATCCTTTAGATAAGGAGTAAAAGGCTTATAACCTAACCCTAACCCTAACTACCTATTCATTTAATGACTGTTCAGATTTAGGATGAGGCATGTTGTTCAGACTTACGACCTGTCTTTTTTTTTTTCTTTTGTACAGTTCTGTGCATCTTGCTTATAGAGACTCAATATCTTTTTTTGTACAGTATACCTTGTTTATACAGTACTATAATTTTCAATGATTGTACTGTATAGTACTGTAGTTTTATGTTCTGTTATACATTACAATCCTGCATGTAAGAGTTAGGCAAATAAAAGCAAAGTCATCAAGTTGGAGATTCCTTTGTTCTGAATACTGTAATGCACACACTATGTATAATTCCTCATTTAGCGACCAATGCATTTAACAACCCAGTCACAGGAATGGAACTCAGTCGCTAAACAAAGAATATCTGTAGATAAAAATAATATGTATGTCATAAAGTTTAAAATTTCAAAATATTAAATTAGGTTTTCCAATACCCAATGCTGATTCATAAATGCATCTAAAGTATGCTGAGAAGAACATTCTTGTATCTATCAAATATCTAAAAAGTTAGTCTAACCCAGGTATGGTGGCCCATGTCTGCAATCCCAGCACTTGGGAGGCTGAGGCAGGAGGATCCTTGTGAGTTCAAGGAGAACCTGGCCTATACACTAAGTTTAAGCCCACCTGAACTACAAAGCAAGTCCCTGTCTCAAACCGACCCCCCCCCAAAAAAAAGAAGAAAAAGAAAGTTACTGTATAAAGTTTTCAAATTTTATATATACTCTTTAAGTGTAAAATTTCCAAACACGTCAAGAACACAAATCATTGAGAATTAAAGCACTATGAATAGCTCTTCTCAATTTGTAGCTCTAAACTGAAAAATCATATTCAAAATTTTATTTAAATAAGGCACCTACCAGCAATGGCTCTGGATATAATTCTAGCTGGGCTCGGTATATAATATCATCCAGTGCTTTTTGAGCTAGATCCCATTCTCCATTATATCTATAAAATTAAATAAAGTGTGTCTCTTAATTCTATATAATAGAACAAAATGTAATGAAGAATTATTTATTGTTACTGAAGAAAGTAACATCACATTAATACATTGTGTGTAACATTCTACTCCCCTTAAAAATGTATTTTTAAATCTTTGAATTCCTGTCAATTGTATCTGAAAGCTATTAATAGTAAAGAAAATTTTATAGATGTATATTTCTTCTCTAAAGAACACAACTATTTACAGAACAGAAATCAAAAAACAGATAAGGCAATTTCAAAGCAGTTACAATTTCAAGCAAGCCAGAGCCAGTAAATTATATACCTTAGGAGAATGTTCAGAACACTCAATGGTCAAATTATTCGGTAAATTCCATGGTTTTTAATGAGAATTCACCACCACTCAGTATCTTGAATAGTATTCTGATGGCCATTCAGCAATGTACATGATATATGTTGCAAATATGAAACACAAGGGAAAAAAGTGTATGTATGTGTGTAATATATACACATAATTTTCAAAGACGCCAAATCCTTTCCAAAAGTAATCTAAATGACAAAAGTAAACAGATATATAGGTTTGATCATTTGTCAATAAAATGAAGACGTGTGAGTTACATCATGAGGGAAAGTGAGGCCTTGAACACTGAAAAGAGCATTATTCTTATTCTAAAAATAAGATAAATCCATGTAATTGTCAAAATCATAACTTTTCATGAATCCAGAAAAGAGCTGAGGTCACAGGGTAACTGCATAGTCTGAACCATAAGGAGAATTGGGCCACAGAGCAAGTGGGTAAGAAGAATGCAGATAAACTTTTTAACAAACTCCTAAAAGCCAAATTGCTAAAAGCTGGTTCATGGGCTAGCAAGAAAAGATAAAATCTCTGGGAGAACATACAGAAGCTCACAGCCCTGAGCAGGCTGTTCTCCACAATCTCTCACAGACACTCACAAGCAAGCCTGGAAACAGGGCAGGGGACCAGAGAAAGCTGCCCTCAGGGGTGCAGGCCTGAAGAGGAGTGGCTACTCAGTTGGGAAAGCACAAGACCCAGCCAGGCCCTTTTCTCTCTATGGAACTGAAGTATTAAGGCTTTTGGGAAAGTAGCAGCAAACCTTTTTACCCTCGTGGCTTAAAGTGAAAGCTCTGAGGGAAAGGAAAAAGTACCTCATTCTCTGCTAAGATCATTAGGGGGGGTCTGTTACCACTGGAGGAGCAGCAGGAACAGAGAAACTCTCAACCGTGATAAGCAGGAACAAAGGAACTGAGGCTGAATCAGGATGACAGAGAACACCACTTGCCGTCCCAATCCTATCATGACGCTGGTATACACCTAGAACCAAGCAATAGCACTCTACTGCTGGAGGAGGGGCAAGAACATGGAGAGAGACCCTCTCCACGGTGCAGGAATACAAAGAAAGCTTGAAGCTACTGACAGAGCAGAAATATTAAGGAAAATTCTCCAGTTCCCACCCTAAATACCAGGTAGCACTAGAGGAATTTGAAGTGATACTCTGAAGTAACCATAGCAAGAACAAAACCCAACCCCCACTAACTACCTGTAATAATTCCACTACCAGTTTAAAAGAAAAGAGCCATGCCAGGGATCTAGCTCAGTGGTTCCATTGCCTCCCTTGCAAGCACAAGGACCAGAGTTCAATCCCCGGTACCAAAAAAAAAAAGAAAGAAAAGAGCCATGCTCATTTTCAGACATAAATATTTACAACAGTCTCTACTTTCCTACCTTGGAACAAAATCATGAACAATCAAAATTTACAATGCATACCACAAGCAAAAGGGGGAAAAATTGTGAATGATAAAACACAGAAATAAATTCAGAGATGACCAAGATGTTGAAGTTATCAGGGAAATTATAAATAATATATTAAATGCTTACAAAAAGATAGGGTTCAAAGAAACAAACTAAACACCAGTATCAGAAATTAACGGTGGGCCAAGGATTTAGCTCAGTAGTTCCAGCGCCTGCCTGGCAAGCACAAGGTCCTGAGTTCGATCCCTGGTACCGAAAAAAAAAAAAAAGAAAGTTTAGAAATTAATGGTAATAACAATATACTATTTCTGACCAAAGAGGATTTAAAATACTTCTGAGAAGCTAAAGTTTCTGGATCCAAAAGGATTTTCACTGAAAGGGGAGAAAAAAATCTATTTGGAAACTAGCAAAAAAAAAAACTACAATGCTAAAGAAAAAGACCAGGAAAATATTTAAGTATTGAATTTAAGTTTTCATTCTGTCCTTAAAGAAAAATTAAGTATTTTAACAGGTTTCAAATTCTTCACAACTTTAAAAGGTAGGTTTTCAATAACAAAACTATTATCAAGATCTTGATTCCTATTCTTTCACTAAAATATGCTATTTACTTTTAATCCTTTAAAAATGCTACATTAGGGGCTGGGGATTTAGCTCAGTGGTTCCACCACCTGCCTCGAAAGCACAAGGACCTGAGTTTGATCCCCGGTACCCAAAAAAAAAAAAAAAAAAAAAATGCTACATTGTCCACACCTGCCTGCCAAGCGCAAGGTTCTGAGTTTGATTCCGAGCACCAGAGAAAAAAAGTTACATTTTATATTCTGGTTGTTTTAATATCTGAAGATCTATTAGTATTTCTTCTGATTATTAGAGCTGTTTCTTTGTGTTTGACAATCTTTGATTAAAAGGTTTCCATTAAAAAAATATGCTATTTATCTACTGAGATTATAATATAGTAAAATTGATTAATAAACTATAGTATTCCAAAGAGATCAAAAGTTTGCTTTGTGTATGAGATAAACTTACAAGGCAAAATAAATTCCTGTTAACATTTGCACCATGAATCCTGAAGAAACCGGTATCCTGCTACTTACACCTTTGTATTTTCTTACATGCTGTCGAGGATATCCACAAACACAGATTCTAGAAAGACCAAAATAAATATATTTATAAAATGTGTAAATATTTAGGTAATTTATTTTTTAACATTTAACCCGATAATATACTAGGCATACTCTCATTGCAAACTTAGTTTTCTATGAAACAATCACTCCAAATAAGACATTTCTCTGCAACATTGTCCTGAATAAGTTAAGACTCAGAAAAAAATGTATAAAGCTAGAGTTATGTTGATATATTTTCACTTACTGGTTGGTTTACTAGGCTCACTAATTTTGGTCAATTCAATCATTAATAATTTTTAGCTACCATAGAACCTATTACATGAAACTTGCCATAAATAGATCTGTGGTTGTATGATCTTTGATTCTTGACAAAGTTCTTGATACAAACTACAGGATCAAAAAATTTACTGTAAGTTACACTTAACCACCTTGCAATACACTATAATAGTTTAAGATAGATTAAAATTTTAATGTTAAAAAATCATGAGAGAAATAAAATATAAGCAGTTATATACTCCGCATCCTGCCTAAACATGATGCTCCGGGTAGAACTCTAAAGAAAGATCGTTAGACTTTACTATTTTTCAAAGAAACTATCATAAACAAAAGTGAAATATAAAAAAAAGTGAGGAATAATTATGGAGTACAAAATATAAGAAGTATGTACTACAGTGAATAAGAAGCCACCTAAAAGTCCAATACAGGAGACTAATTCTTTGAATCACTCAAAGCATACTACGATATAAGTAAAGATGTTTTGAAAGTCTATTTAAATGATGTGGGAGGAGGCTGTATAAAATAACCCATACAGCATAGTCCCAGTTTATAATAAACAAATAGTCTGTCCTAAAACCAGCATATACAAAGTCATTGTTATCTCTGATCCTGGAGATTACAGACCTGTTTTCTCCATTACGTTTATATGTATTTCCTAAATGTTCCATGATAAACATGTACTTCTTTTAAAATAAACAATTAATTTCTATTTTTAAAAATTTACTAGAAAATAGCTGCTTTCTAATATATGTTATGGCAGATACAAACCACTTTCACTCAATACAATCCTAGCCAGGAGACTGTAATTATCCCTCCTGTAATAACTACCTAGAACTTTGTTTTATTTCCTCTATTTAATACATCTGAGCCTTCCCTTTAAAAGGCCCCAGCACCACAAACTATTTCAAAAATATCTTCTTGAGAATTTCATTAATTCAAAGAATTTTTTAAAGCCAAACTCACGGCCCAATTCAAAGAAATTTTAAAGAATAAAAATAAATTCATATACTATTGAGAGGACCTCAGAATTCTTTAGAACCAAGAAAAGCAGGGAAACAGAAAAAAAATAGCTGCATGTGAAGTAAAACCAAGTCTAATTTTATTTCACATTACAAAAAACCATGCCCAAACTTGAACAGGTACTCATCTTACTTTTATTATCTAGATAAGCAAATCTAAGGAATTTTAGTTTCTTTCATCTTTCACCTTTACGATAAGGATGGTAGTAAATAATAGAGAATCAATGTATAAAAATACAAGATTTTTTGGTTCATTTATTCAGTACATGTTTATTAGAAACTGGTATTATGTCAGATACTAGAGACCTAGATGAAAGATATAATTCCCAGGGGAATTTACAGTCTAATCATGGAGAATGTGTGGTAAGCAAATATTTGCACTGATCAAGTTCCAGAGGTGGCAGAGGACAGAATAGAACTTGGGAACAAGAACTGGAGAGTCAGACAGGGCTTCTCAGAAAGGTTCCTTCAAAACTAAGCCTAGAGGAAAAAGTGATATTTTTCACCTGGAAAACAAGAGAAAGGGCACAAGTAGAGGAGGGATGAAACAGCACAGTACTGAGGAGCCTGAGGAAATTTTAGGAGGACAAATGTGAGGAACTAGGAAATGACAGAAGCTAGCTAGAGTGTCTTATGACAGGCTAGGTTTCATCATTATAGAAAATGGGAAGCAACCAAAGGTTTTTTGCTTTAAGTAAGTCACTAACATGATCAAGTTTTTTGTTTTTTGAGGCAGGGTCTCACTACGTAGGGCAGGCTGGCCTTGAACTCACACTACAAGGCAGGCCTCCAATCTTTATGCCTCAGTCTCACAAGTGCTAGGATGACAGGCATGTGCACTATACCCAGCTAGATTTTTCTCTTTTTTTATATACTATTATCCTGGGGTGGGAAGAGTAGTACTTTAGAATATATGATCACAGAAGATCTTGGCAAGGAGGTAACATTTGAGCTGAGACCCAAAAGAGTCTAGTCCAGTGATAGCAAACCTTTTAGAGCTTTCATTGACATCAAACAGTCTGGTGCGGCATGCATGCCATAGGTTCAGCACCACTGGTCTAGTCTTATCCAGCTACACTTATCCAGCCAACCATTAGTTGGATCTCTTATCAATTCCTTTTAATAATTTAAGAATTCTCTGATTTATTCTTCAATTTTCTGATCTCTCTGTTGAAGAATATTCTTTTCTCAAATGGCTTTCACTAAATGTAAATAAAATGTAAAACAAACAAAACAAAATCAAGTGATAAAGCTATCTGCCACATGAATGCTTGACTCTTCTGTTCATCAGAGCTCTACTCTGAAGTTTTTTAATGTCCCTTTACAAATCCAAAAAATATAGATCAGACTTGTAAAAGAGCAGCTGAGTGGCATAACTTTTATTTCTGTATTTAAGCTTACTCTGAAGTCACAAATAGATATTTGCCAAGTTCTTAAGCTGTATTAAAATAAAATCCTTTTAAAGAGAATAAAAGAAAAAAATGGAAACGATGCTTTTATAAATGAAGAGGGGAAGAAGAGTTGAAGGGAGGGGAGTGGAATGGGGTAAAAAAGAAGAATCAAGATATATTATGTACAGATACAAATTCCCTATGATAAATGTGGTCATTATGTATATCAAAAGTGTACCAACAAAATTAATTTTTAAAAATAAAATTCTTTTGGAGGGTACATTTTGTCAATATATTCCTGGGAGAAGTTCTGAGTATTAATTTTTTTGTGTGATAGCAAATTAATTTATTTAGTATTTTCTCCACTCCATATCATCACATCAGGAGCATTGATTTCAACTTTGCTTTTACCTGTATCAGACCAGTTGGTACTCAAAACTGTACCACCAGAGTCTATAAATGATTTGTTCATGGCACGTTTGACTTCATCAGAGCCATGTGAATAGATCTGCTGAAATAACTTGTTTAAAGCTGCATCTCCCTCCAACTTCTCATTCTTTTCTTCTTCTTTGATCTCACCAACCAATTTATCCCAATTTGTTGTATGAGATGATGATGGATATAGGTTCTTTACATCTGCTATGAACTGTTTTGACGTAGGCACATCTCTTTGTCCCTCTAGCTTTTCCCATCTCACAGCCTCTGGCTTTTTCATTTTAATTTCAATCTTTGTTGAAAGTACTTTAAATGTGCTCTGTTCTGGTATTATAGGATGAAGCAGTCTCAGTTTCAAATTGTAATCCTCTCCAGAAGGAAGTTTCATCAAAGCAGACAACTCTTTTTCTGAAAATTCCACATTTATATCATTCTTCTGAACATTCTTAATCATAAGTGTTATGATTACTTGAGAGTCTATTTGATACCTGTCATACTTGATTTTTGATTGAGTCCTCACCTCAGATTCTAATCCATACTCACCATTCTGTGCTTTTGGGGATCTTTTAATCCAGACAATAAAATTAGCATCTGCACTATCTAATTTCTGTCCTTCTGTAAAAGTTTCTAGAGCAGCAGCATAGTTTTTTTCATGATATTCACATATCCCTTTTCTCAGCATAGCAGTGGAATTATTGGGGTTGAGTTTAAGAGAAGTTTTTGCATCAGCAACACCATCACAGTAATTCCCAAGGAGAATGTGATAGTAAGCTCTTTGACAATAATATCATTTTATTTTGTTTTGTTTTTTGTTTTTTTGTTTTGGTACTGGGGATCGAACTTGGGTCTTTCTGCTTGTGAGCTAAATCCTGGCCCTCCTGAGTATTAATTTTTAAATGAAGAAAAACTTGCTGTCATTCTCATTCTCTGTTGAGAGGCATTTGCCTCAGAGTGAAAGTAAACTTTTGAGATTGTTGATAATATATTCTGAGTCACAAACTAAAAGATAATTAGAAGTGCCATTCCAGTGAGGACATGTGGTGAGTTTATCTATTCATGAATATAAGACAATCTAAAGAAGAAAGGTTAACTACTATTATCAGATTTTCAGATCATCAGAATAGTAAGTGCCAATCTACTTTAAAAAGGGAAACAATTGTTTTTCTTATTTTTCATTTGAGAAATATTTAAAATTTGGTTCAGGTCTACTTCATAGCCATCTGGATAAAAGATATAGAATATGAAATAAAATTAAATAATTTCAAAACATCTCTTTCTGTTTTGTTTTTTAAGAAGTAGGTTGAGGGAGAGAAGGAAATTAAGGAGAAAAGAGGAAGTGGAAGAATTACTCAAACAGTAATGAGCATTTTTCTGCTGTTGGTCTTTTGCTCTTCAAAATTAGGAACTAATAAAGACTACATCTTCTGTCACTTTCCTCAAGTGTGTGTGTTTTCAAGGCCACATAATCAAATCATGTTCAAGTACATAGTTGAAGGAAACATTTTAATGGGATTATGAAAGATGGATAAAATTTAGATAGGTTAAAAAGAAGTTTGCAAATAAAATAACAAGCAATGAAAAAAACCAACCAAATGTTCTTTCAACAAGGAATGACCTAATATCAGATATGTACTGCAGCTTACGGCATGGTGATAGTAAGCAGATGAGACCCCCAAAAAAGGCCATTGTGTAACCACAGGTGATGTTTGTGTTCAACATTAGGGCACAATAACATGACAGGTGGCATTTACTGGATTACAACAAAGTGACTGACACTGTGTTAGATATATGTGTGCACGTATATATTTGATACCTAGGTCAAATTTTTCTAGTCAGGAATATTAATCCACAAAAGGGGCTTACTCGCAAAAGGTGCCCTTTATAGTCAGAATACAAGAAGAAATCTGTTCAGGTGGTCAAGAAGATTGGCATGGAAGTGAGGAGAGGAGCAGGTTTCATCATTGGTACAGAGGAATAAATGCACTGATCAGGAACTCAGAGCAGTTCATGTCCAGATTAGTCAGCTAGATGACCCACTAGCTAAACAAAATCAGGGGAATCCATTAGACAATGGGAGAGAAAAATAGATCAGTAGAGTTTTATTCTTAATACTTATACAACGCATCAAAAGGCAAGAAAGTCATCTGTTCAATAGCACTGTATTAACAGAGATGTCTGACAATAAAAAAAGAAAACTTATTTCCTCAAATTTAAAGGATTCTGGTATTCTGGATTCTGGTAGCAAAACATATTTGCAATATAAGTAAATATATACATTTTAATAATGCTATAATGTTCAATACTACCAGAGAATAAAAACTTTCTGGCTATACCTTATTCAATCTAATTCTTGTCCACTTTCCTATCTCTTTTTTAAGTGGTCCATGCACACTGCATAGGAAGAAAAGACAGGCTATCAATTTGGCCATCAGTGTAGGTAATAAATCAAAGCTCATAGTAGCTAAACTGATTTTTGCTTAGTAGAATGGCTTTGTGGGTTCATAGATGGAGGGTAGAAAAGTCCACAATTATTTTAATTATTACCCCAGATTATTACAATCAGAAGATTAAAAAAGAATGAAACACATTTTGTCACTGAATCTAGTTCAGATATTAATTTTTTTCTGATTGTATTTATGTATCCTTCCTCCTACATGACCCAGCAAATCATTTTGATATAGTCATGAAAAACCCAATTGAGTGGCAATCTGAAACAACTGTAACACAGCCAAAGGACTTGATTACCCATAAAGCCATGTGATCTCTTTTATCTTCAGGAAAACCTGAGATCATTAAGATCTTTCTTGTACTTTAATGTAATCATTTATAACTTACTTAATATCACAGTTCTACAGCCAACTTTTCTTTCCCTGGATATGACTAGGTCTTAGATTGTTAAATAGTAGTAAAATTTCTAATTCTTTCATCTTTAAAACATACAAATCTCCTAACTAGAATATTTGATAAAAGATTGGGGCTAGGGATTAAGAAAAATGAATAACTGGATTTTACTACTGAGCAGAGAGTACTAGGGAATTTAAAATAAAAAATGTAGAATGAAAAAAAGGGGACAGGAATGACAATCTGATAGGGTCTTTCTTATGTAACATTCTGTGGCTTAAGAGCTAATATTAAAAAGCTTAAGTGTTTTGAATTACTTACACCCCCCACACACACCTGCATTTTCTTACAGCTGGTAAACATTTACACAGGATGAATTTCTGTTGTGGTATCAATCTACTAAAATCTTCCTTGGACAAAATCCTACAGCTAGTTTTAGTATATGTGCTGCCGAAGTAAGCACAAAATCCTACAGCTAGTTTTTAAACAATCTATATTTCTCTTTGTTTTTAAAAGCAGCTTTTACTTGTGTTCTTTGTTGAAGGATTACTCAGTTCCTTAGCTAGGTAAAATCGGCACATTAGCAATTTTTCACTCATAATGTACAAGTAATTATATTTAAAGGCAGTGCAGTAGAGTTACACAGAACAAAAACCAGTGACATGTTCTTTCTTAACTTTCCCAGCAGTAGTTTCACGGAAACACCAACAATGAGGTTTTTTGGTTTTCTTATGTTTGTTTTTGTCTGTTTTTAAATCAGAGATTGAACCCAAGACCTCACATCTGATAGGCAAGTGCTTACCACTGAGCTACATCTCCAGCCCTTTTTATTTTATTTTGAGGAATGATCTAAGTTGCCCATGCTCTCCTCAAACTTGCAATCCTCTTGTCTCAGCCTCCTGGTTTTATAGACATGTGCCACTGTCACTGGAGACTAGTGGTTCTTATTAGAACATGGTATTAGAACATCAGTGGAGCTAAAAATATACATATATATATATATATATAGACATATATATGTACACACACACACATATATATATATGTATTCCTGCGTCCCACTACCTAAGACAGTGCTTCACTGCTCAGAGTAGGACCTGGACTTTCTAGTGTGTTTCAAGTTCTACAGGTGAAAACTGCTGCATCAAGTTACTCCTTAAACTGGTGCTTCTTACATATTGGTCCTTATACACATTTTAGTCTATAACGAAGTTTTCACTGAGCTGCATGAAAGGAGAAATGAGGAAGGCTAACCTTGTCCCATTTGTAATCCATAAATTTGTAAATCCATAAATATTGTCCTTCTCTTCCACCTTTACCCTCTTTTGATGTTACAGTCTCCCTTGGGGGCTGGGGATGGAGCTCGGAGGCAATGCATATGTTTGGTATACTTGAGGCTCTAGGTCCAATTCCTAGCACTGAAGAAGCAAAACAAAACCTCCCTTTTCTTAATATTGATGGTGGATATTTATAATATAACAACCTGCCAATGTAAAATTGAACAACACTATGTAGATAACCGACCCAGTCTGTTTTGGGGTTTTTTTGTTTGTTTGTTTTTAAAATTTTGTAGATCTGTGAAATTCATAACTGGATATCTCCTCTTCCTTTAGAAGGTTTGAAGCAAAGAATATATTAGAAAGGCTCAGTAAGTGAGAGAGATGGTACATTGGTGCTATCTTTCAAGAGCAGGAAATATAAGTTTGCTGTAATTCAAAAAATATCTCAAAAACTTTCCATTTCTCCACCTCTATCATCCCCCTTGTCCTGTTAACTCCTTTCTCCAGCTGGTCAGCATGATTCTATAATATTCAGCATCAAGTTCCGCTTTTTCATTTGTTTTGTTTTAGCTAATTGGATTTCTAAGTATTGTTCAATAGACTCTCCCTCTGGCTACGTTTTATTTCCTAAATAAGTTCCTCATATATAAATTATTCTATAACTTCTTTAATTCTATAGTTTTCTATTGAGTTATCAAAGGTAACCACCTCAGTCTTTTGCTTTTTTGTTATTTTAAAAGGCAATATGTTTATCACAGACAATTAAAAAATCAAAGAAAAACCACAAAAGAGAAAATTTAAAATAAATCATTAATTCTACCAATTAGAGATAATCACTGTTAATATTCTAGTCATATTCAGCAAATTCAAGAGTCATAATATATCACATGGTTTATATGGTTACCATCATATCATATACACTATTAAATATTTAAATACTATTAAATACTTTTAAAAAAGGAATTTTTAAATGTTTGCATAACAAACAATGATATAATTTACTTAACATTGTAGCTTAATCTTTTTAAGCAAGGAAAAGTTAAAAACATGATTTCTTATTTCTTGACATCAAATTAGAGCACAGTAAAAAGAAATAAAAAACAGATAACAAAATAAAATACACATTTCAAAAATCCAAAGGTCAGAACCATTCCATTCTTTCAAATACACAGTATACGTAATCCTTTTCTGATTAGATATTCTACGTAAGTGTTATTCAGCTTTATATCCTTCATCATGTTTTTTGTGGCTATTACTTGTAGGGCACTCTTGATGTGTTGGGTAGGCTGAACTTTACCTTATTTAATGTTTTAAACAAATTATTACATAAAACAAAACAACTTAGGTATGTAATATTTCAATACTGAAAGCATTTGAATTTTAATTTACCTTGAACAAATTTGACACAGTGATTGAAGAGAAACACTGGGCATATAGGTTAAGGCAGCATTGTAACACAACAAAAGGAATGTCAACACTTCAAACCTAGAGACAAACAAAAGGATTATTAACCAATCTTTACAATTCTAAGAAGCCAACCATAATGAGAGGGCAGTGTTAGTTTTATAGAACAGACTTTTACAATATGAGCATAACAATAACAGAAACTAAAAGGAACCAAGATTTTCCAAGTAACAGCCATATGAAACATCTTAAAATTTCAATGTTCCAAATGTTATCTGAAACAAAGTACAATGACAAACCTAGATGTGTTTCTCTTTTGTAAAATGACTTAATAAAATAGGTTGTTACATATAACTCACTAAACATTACTTATATGCCTACTAGAATCAGTGCAGCAGCATAAGAAGTTATAACTCCATAGCATACCTGTTCTGGGCTGTAAGCATCTCCCTTTGAGGATGAGGTCCACTGTACACGACTTTTGACAACCCATGCTGGGACAGTGCGCTCTCGGTCAGAGCCATGGACCCAATACTGGAAGGCTAAAGAAAAGACATTCAAATAAAGAAAAAACAGCTACTTGGCTGAAAGTGTGGCATTTAAAGTATATGTAGCGTCAAGAATGACTATCAGGAACATCAAATATTGTAAAAATATTCAGACACTCTACCAAATTGTCTATTCAGATATTTAAAATTCAAAACTAAGTGAGAAATAAATAATAGTTTTCAAAGTTTTCTACAATGGAAATACATAATTGCCACACACAAAAAACATTCAACCAGTCCTATCCATCAGAAAGAGAGAAAAGTATTTCAAGAAGACTACTTTCAACAGGTCTCTAATTATCAGATTTTTATATCAAAGCTAGTAGTTCTGGTTTTTCATTTCATTTTTGAAATAGTAAATATTTTATATGGTGCTTTATACTCTTTAGGGTTCTAATAAGTTTATCAACTTCTTTTGACCAGGTTACTGCACCCTAATTTATGATAATATCAAAGCTTCAGACCAAGTAATTTACTTTAATAAAATGCCACTTACTTCATGATATACAGATGGTTTGGATAAAGATGGAATTGTAAAACTCAATACTTTGCTATGTCCCTGTTTATCAACTATTTCCTAGAAAAGTAAAAGAAAATATCTTAAAATATTTACTTCTTTACACATAAATATTAATACTAAATTTAAATTGTTAGGCTATTTTTTTAAAACAGACCTAAGTAGAAAGGAATTTAAAGACAATTAAAATCTTAAACAATGATAATACATCATCAATTATTCATAAACACTAGTAGTTAAAACATACATTCTTCTACTTTTTCAAGTAGGGGATGGGGTTGTAGCTCAGCAGTAAAGAGCTTGCCTCACATGCAGGAGGCCCTGTGTTTGATTCCCAATATTACAAAAAGAGAAACGAAAAATAAAAGAAAAAGTAACTCACTAAAACTCACACACAGTTTTCAAGATGGTTGAGATATATCTTAAGAGCCATTGATCTTCTACATATAACAAGTTATATTTTCTACATCAACTAATGATTTAAATATTAAGTACATCAAGAAAAGGACCTTAATTATTTTCTATCTTAAAAAAATACAAACTTTAAGTATCTAGAACATCATCACAATTAATATACAAACTATTAGTAATGCAAACTATGTTAAATCAATGGTGTGAACTCTGGAGATAGTCCAAATTTTAGGGAACTATGACTGGTGCATATTAGGGCTAAATCTTTTCTCCTAAAGTTTCTGTGAGGTGTATACTAAGTTTTAAAATTTTTAAATGCAATACTGTTATTTTTCAGATATACCTGTAAAAGAATTGAAATGGTCAGATTATTTAATTGAAGTCAATCAATCCCAAAGAGTATATTTATATAATTATATGTATGCCTGTATAGCTCCCTCCCCTACAAAGAGCTATTTTGGATGAGAATGTATAAAAAGACAAATTTTAGCTTTACTAAAATGAACAGTAGGTGTAGAAGTTATATGCTAGAAAGCATTTTGTTTAATACAATATATACAAACCAAATTGTAAACCCCTAGAAGAAGAGCTTCGATGCATCCACTGCTATGCACATTTCTGCTGGCTGAGACTGTAAGGTAGCACCAAATCAGTTCTGGGAGAAACTGCAACGTAAATCGAAGCAACTGTTCCTCTCCACTGCGATAGAATTCAAAGAGCTGGTGACAGACAGGTTCTAGCAACTGGGAGAAAGATAAAATGTTAATTTACAAACTGGGCTTTATTTGAATGACAATGTTATATGAAATATAAAAGGTTTTCTCAAATTGCTAACTACTGAAATATGTTTTCTTTTCTTTTTTTTTTGAAGCAAAACTATTCACTGCTAAGCTATTCAATAAACCTGAATTTTGGCAGAAGGACAAACAGTGCAATAAAGGAAACATGAAAGCATGTGTAAACTTTAAAATATAGTTCTAAGGTAGTATTTTTATTAAAATCATGTTTCTTTAACTTCTTACAACAGCTAAATTAGAGGAAGATTTTTCCTCACTGTCCTTTCTTCCTGGTAAATTACATGCCAATACATAAAAGGCTACTAGCAGGGGAGAAGAAATTGCAATGGGAAACCTGGGCAGTTACTACCACACCTCCTTCCTGAGCTTTCACTTAGGCAGCTCTTGACAGCAATGACTAGTGTGCAGGGTGGGTAAATAGTCACAGGGCCCTAGATCTAGATCCCTATTTAAACATGTGAACTGTCCATGGGTAATCTAAACATTCGCTATATTTTTTAGACATAATTTGGAGTCATCTATACCTTTTCTTCTCCCACCACAGCTGCAACTTTATCAAGTTATTAGAGCTGACTGTATATTATAGATTTCTTTTAAAAATCAGAAAGGCAAGATTTTAAAAAAACTTTCATAGGTAAGTGTTATCTTGATATAATAATGACCATATAAAACATAATCAAATATGTCAAGAGGTTCACAAAGTACTGAGTTCTCAAGGATACTATCAGGCTATTATATTTATTCAATGTACTATTCTTCACTAATAGCCAATAGATTTAAGTCAATTCATTAAACAGATTCTACTACAAGTAATCATAATGAACAGAAACCAATTTACAGTAGATATTTTGATATTAAGTAATTTAAATAGGTAATTAAACTGAGTATAAAGTCATTATTTATACAAGATTTAATAAAAGTTACATTCAATAAATATTGAGTAAGTCAAACCAGTCTCTCCTTTGAAAAAATTTATAACTTCCAATGGTTACTCTTCCATAAAAAAATAGCTGTTTCAATTTCAAAATGGTCTTTATAGGACAACAAGCATCAGATTTTTATATCAACAAGCATCCACTGTGGTCAAGTAACGATAACAGAAAAGCGGTGGTCAGGAGGGAAAATAACTCTATTCATAGATGGCATGAAAAGGTTTTGGGACGGGAATTGGAAGAAAGGAGTTAGAGGTGATGGGAAGAAAGAAAGACTGTCAGGGTAATATGTAGCTTCCAGGGTACAATTTTAAAAATTTCCTTGGAGATAAGCCTCAGTAATCTTGTGTTATAATAACTTTCATCTCTAAATCCCTGGCCAGGCTTTGATTAAATCAAGTTATAAAACTTGATAAGTCTACAAGTATTTGCAAATTATAAAACCTTATTAGAAAATTCCTTCAAGAACATCTGTATGAACACATAATCAATCTCAATCAAAATACTCAGAGGCTTTATAATCAGTTTCAAATCCCAAATTACAGGGTTTTTGCTTAATGAAAGGAGATCTAAATGAAGACAAATTCAAAGGGAGATAGAAATTCCATTGTAAAGAGATTAAATAAAATTACTCATTTAAACCCAATACAGATAAACATCAACACCTGTCTGCTCTTGTCCTCTTAAGTTCTTTATATACTCAAACTTGTTCAATTCCTACAGCATTATAAGTAGAATATGATTATCCACACTTTCCACTTAAGGAAGTCGAGACAAAAAGGCTATCCATCATAACCAATATCACACCATTCACAAGAAATAAGAAAGGAGCCAGATCTTTTAGCTCCTTTACAAACATACCTGAAAAATGTCAGAAAAGAATGAAATAATATACAGTGTGGGAAATACAAGAACAGTTTGATTTACCTAACTTGAATATATTTGAAGAAAGCAACGGAGCATTAGAACATGCTGTGTTCCTAGTGTCTAGGTTAAATTTTTGAAAATATTTTCTCATAAAAACATCCTCATATATGGTGATTAGATTTTAACAATTCTGTTAAAGAACTGCACCTAAACAGTATATTTTTATGCATTAAATGGGCTTTTTATGAGTCTAATGAAAATCTAATCACCATGTATCAACTTTCCATTTAAAAGTACATCCTGAAATCTAAAACAATTCAGTTATAAATGATATTTTGCAATAATCCACTCTTAAGAAGTCTGTATCCTAAGAGAGATTTCCAGGAGTGAAAATGTGACACAAAAATATTTTTTAATAACTAAGTAGGGAAAATGATCTTAACTAACCAAGGAAAGAATCATGTTTTATTTTTCTTTTTTATATTGAACAATTACTGATCAGCATGGGTAAAAAGATACAGGAAGGTTAGAGGAATACTACTCAAGGACCACCGTTCAGAGCTTGACCTCTGCTCACTCTGGGTTCCCTACTCCTAGAACCACAAAGAGATTCTATGTGGCTCTTTCAAAAAACAGCTGGTGTGAGGACTGTATAGTGGCACACACCTTTAATTCCAGCTACTTGGGAGGCTGAAGCAAAGGGATCACAATTTCAAGAACAGCTGGGCCACTTAACAAGACCCTATCTCGAAATAAAAAGGGCTGGGGATGTAGCTCAATGCAGTTTGTCTCGCATACACAAGCCTCTTGATTCAATCCCCAGTAAACACACACACACACAAACACACACACACACACATCCAGCTACTTTCATAACAGACTTGAAGATTATTAAACTCTAAATTATATACCATCTTAAAATTATAGCCAACTGAAAACACCATCTGAGCTAACTGCATAGTATCCATATATGCTGCTTCTTTATAAGCTTCCTAAACACACATACACACACACACATACACACACACACACACACACACACACTTGCCTGTTCCTACTGCTGGGAAGCTCTTGTCCTCTCTTCATTTTCCTTCTCTCTAATTCTTTCAGATCTCAATTCACTTCCTTAGTCCCAACACATACTTCACCTACTCCACTTTATTACATCACTGTTTTATCACTAACTTACATAGTAAAATAAAATAAAATCAAGAATAAAAAATCATAAAATAAAGAATTTATTTCTATTTTATTCTCTACTACAGTCCTAAGAGGCGTCTGATTCATTATGTGTGTTCAATAAATATTTACTAAGTAAATAAAACTTAATAATGGAAAAGTACTATTATAAATACCAAATTTACTAGACTTAAAATAACACTAGAAACAATGTCTCAAGTTTCAAAACTACCAAAAAACTCTTTAGGACATGTCCAAATTAAGACACAAAATATTCTAAAGACCAACATTAAAGTAAATTATATTTTGTATTTCAGAAGCACATTTAAATACCTTTTAAAGATTAAATTGTCTTTTAGGGATATAGAATACACATTGTCTTTACCATATTAATCAGCACAAAAACAAAACAAACTTATATGCAAAACCTTCCAAAACAGTTCTTCTCCAAGTGTGACCCACAGAGTGAGGACCAGCAACCATGACCAGTCTTCATCAATATAAACACAGAAATCAGGTGCAACATTTAAAAACTTCAAGCAACTTGATATTTTTGCACCAACCAAGTGGGTGATCAGTAGACATATTGAACAGGATATAGGTGAGCTAGGGATTATCAAACTTATGTGGTGCCATACATGCAGTGCAAGTTGTGTTATTATATATCAGTCTGTGACAGACTGGATTTCTAAACACTTGGTCCTTCACTACAAATAGTTTGAGAAATATTGCACTGAACCACTAGAGCTGTGTTCATTAAAGTTTTCTGAATATAAGGAATGCTATAAACTAAAGCAGCCAATCAGAAATTTATCCTATGAACTCTTTCCAAAGTAGCTTGGTTAAAATACATTTCAACAGAGAAATAATTTTAAGCCTTTCAAAATATTAAATAGTAAATGATAAACAAGATATACTTTATTTTTAAAAAGACAATATATAACTATACTTAATTTGGTGATATAATTCTGAACTAAACATAGAAATTTTAAAAGTTTCCACCCATTCCATATGTTTAAAAAAAAAAAATCTTTCACAAAAACAGGCTAACATAGTGTGGTGGCACATACCTGTAGCCCAGTTACTTAGGAGAACAAAGCAAGAGGACTGCTTGAGCCCAGGAATTTGGGACCAGTTGGGACAACATAGCAAGACCCCATTTCAAGATTATTTTTTTATTTTAAATAAAATAAAGAACACGGGCTACTTAGGCATTAAGAAGCTTTGTGGGCTGGGGAGTGCTGCACAAGCCAAATATGATTGTTCAATGCAGTTATTCCAGTTAAAGTTTGTTTGCTTGTCAATAAAATCCCTAATCCCTTTAGCATCTAAAATTTACAACATACTTCATAGTATAATAAGTCAAAGCAGGGCTATTCTATACCCTCTCCAAAAGAGATTAACTACTCAAGTAACAAAAGATCTTGGTTTGGGTAGTTTCCTTCCAAAGGTGCATGGATCTACTAAATAAAACTCAAGTATAAAAGAAATTATACACTTCAGCACATTCTTCTCTACCCTATCTCTCCCTATTCCCACTGATCCTACCCAACTTCAGGCTCTCAACAGTTCCCTCACAGGTTGTTGTTATAGATAGTCTTGCTTTCAATTTTTCCAGTTTCCATTCCATCCTCCACATAGCCATATCCCTAAAACAATAATCAGAATAAATCATCTCTACAGAACAAAAAAAAGTTTAAACTGCAGAAGATAGAATTTGAGGTCCACGCCAGGGGTAGCTGGTGCATGTCTGTAATCCCAGCTACTTGGGAGACTGAGGCAGGAGGATTACAAATTAGAGGCCATGTTGGACAACTTAGTGAGATTCTATCTCAAAAATAAAATTTGAAAAGCTGGGTAAATATCTTAGCAGCAGAACGCTTGCTTGGCATGCATAATGCCCTGGGTTCAATCCCAGTATTGCCCAAAGGGCCGTGGATACAGGTTGGTGGTAGAGCACTTCGTCTAGCAGACTCAAGGCCCTGGATTCAATCCTTAGTAATTCTCACACACACACACTCACACACACAGACACACACACACACAATTTGAAACCGAGTATATCTGCCCAGCTTCAGTTCCTACTAGTCTTACACTCTTGTTACCATCAGCTTAAGTGCCTTTTTCCAAATGCTATGCATTTTAATTTTCCATACTATTTCCAATCCTTTCTATTTCTACTATCAATAGTAGGATTTATAAGAACCAGGATCTAAAGTACTATAGATTATCATCTTCAAAATACATTGGCTGGGGGCCAGGGATTCAGCTCAGTGGCACTGTGCCTGCTTTGCAAGTCTAAGGTCCTAAGTTCGATTCCCAGTAAGGGGAATCCCCCCAGTGGATATTGGCTGTTTGGAGGAGGAAGGCAAAAGGCCCAAGCCAGATCACACTATTTGCCATTCCTTAAATGCCTTGCACTTTCTCAGGCTTCCAAAGAGTAGCCCAGCTGCTTAGAATTTGTTTTTAACCTTGCCTCCTGGAAAATCAGTGCTTATCGATGTTCTTAGCGTTGTTTCTTGCTGCTGTAATAGAACAACACGGACTGGGTAATTTACAAAGAGAAACTTATTCCCTCACAGATCTGCAGGCTAAGAAGTCTGAGATCAAGGAGCTTTTTGCAGAAGAGTAAGACAGAAAGAGGCTGATGAACTCAGCCTGTTGAACGGCATCAGTCTCAGCCATGGGGATGGGGTCCTCGTGGACTAACCACTCTCTGCAGGTCCAGAGTCTTCATACTTGTTACAATGGCAATTAAGTTCCAAATTATTTTTGTAGGGAACAAACATGCAAACCATAGCATTCATAAACTGAGTTAAGCATTTCTTTGAAGTTTATTTAATTTTTTCCCCTTTCCTTTTTCAAGATAAATATCATGTGCTATAAGATCTCTGCTTCTTTACTGCCCACCATAACAAATGGCTCATCCTGAGCACACAAATACTTGCTGAATGAATAAAATAAATGTACGACCTAGACTTTTCAAGGCTACTGAAACACAAAGAATGGGGCAAGAAGGGCCGGGGATTTAGGGCACTGTTCAGAGATGGCTTTTGGGATATGGTAATAATTCTATTTCTTGGCCTGGGAGATGGTACCCTGGAGTTCATTCTATATTGTTTTTAAATATATATATATTTTCTTACCCTTTTACAATAAATGAAATTAAAAATCAATCAACAGAATACTACCAGAAGCACAATAAACTATAAGAGTACTTACCTCACTTTGTGGCTCCTGGATAACTTTATAGAGAGATGAAACTAAAGAGCTCTTGTCTTTCAAATTTGTGGCATAATTTGGTAAAGATGTTTCTGGAAGGGTCTAAACAAATTTAAAAAGTAAATTTCATTTTTATGAAATTCCAAAATAGGCAGATCCATAGAAACAGAATATAGTTTAGTTATTGCCAGAGATTGGAGGTGGGAGGTGACAATAGGAGTGACTAACAGGCATGGAGTTTCTTTGGGAGAGATGAAAATGTCCTGGAATTAGATGCTGGTGTTGGCTGCAACACTGTCAATAAACCAATGTACTTTTCGCCTTAAAACAGTGACCTTCCTTTTTTTCACACTGGAGATTGAACTTGGGGCCTTTGCACTGAGCTACATCCTTGCCCTTTATTTTATTTTTTATTGTGAGTTAGGGTCTTACTAAGTTGCTCAGGTGGGACTCAAACATGCAAGCCTCCTGCCTTAGCTTCCCAAGTGCTGGGATTAGAGGCATGTGGAACCACATTTGGTTTCAAACAGTAAATTTTATGATATAAATTATATCTCAAAAAATATTCAAGGTAAAACAAAAAATACATTTTATCCTCTTATAACAGGAATGTAAAGTAATACCAAACTTTCATCTTTAATCACAGTTTGAGGTTAGAAATGAGAATGTGTAATGCTAAAGATATATTTTTAAAGTATTATATGTTATAAATCTCATTAGCTATATTGATACTGCTTTGTGTCCTAAAGAATCTGGTAACATTTCCAAGTAAAAGGCACAGGAGATCATCTGCTGCAAGTAATTCCTGAGCCACATGATCTGATTGTTGAGCTTGGTGATGTTCTACTTTACAAATTGGGTGGAAAATTTGGACTTCTCAGAACTGGAAAAAAAAGATATCCACATTACAATAAAAACTAGTTCTTCTAATACCATTTAAAATATGGATAATGAATCACAGCTTGCCAGTGACCCGTCCCCTCATTCAGACAAGACACCATGCCCAGAGAGGAATGGAGAGAGATGAAACTACAGTAGTAAGTCATATAGCTTTGCGTATAAAAGTCATATTGGAAACTGGGAAAAACAACACTATAACAATCATTAAGATCTATTCTTCTAAAGCATACCCCATGTAGAAATATTTACCTCCCATCTCATTATTCTTTTTCACCCAAATTCCTCCAATCAATCAATCAGTGCTAATCATACAGTAGATACCATGTGTCAAGAAATTTCTAACAGCCATTCTAAGATATATACTATTTCTTACATATCTATCCTATCACTTAATATTTCACGATTTAACATGTATTATGTTAGCACTTTATAGGTAGATGTACATGTGCATAAATAGGCATGGAAAAATTAAACCACATGAATTTTATATGAAAACTAAAGAATATTTGATTCATTTCCACCTTATGTTGAGTTGCTTGAAAAAAAAAACTGTCTCATCTCTTCAACCACATCACTCAAAGCTTCATACTCAAATCTTTGCTGAAGGAATGTATAGCAAAGAATAGAATAAAATATGAAAACTATCAGTGTTTAAACTTAAAAAGATTCTTTAAAAATAGGCATAGCCAGGCATAGTGGTGCACACCTGTAATTCAACCACTCTGGGAAGCTGAGGTTGGAGGATTACAAAATCAAGCCCAGTCTGGGGAATTTAGTAACTCAGTAAGACCTAGTCTCAAAATATAAAATAATAAGGGCTGGGGATATAGCTTAGTGTAAAGGCCCTGGATTCAATCCCCTGTATTGTAAAATAAAATTAAACAAATAAATAAAGTAAATCATATTTCACCTTAAGTAAATAGATTTTCAAAAATAAGAAACTTTTGTTTACCAGAAATGGTAAGTAAATGTGAACTACTGGAAACCTCCCATCATTCAGGGGGCAGGGTGGGGGAGTAGCTTCACTGCACTGCTTACATAAAGAAGGGATTAGGGCATTCTTCAATATTTCAAAACCAAGTAACAAAAGATCTCCAAGCAACATTCCTTTTCTGTTATTTGATCAAAAGTAAGCTAATACTGGGGAAAAAATTATATAAAGGGGAATAACATTCAAATAAACAAGATTTCTAATTCTCTGAATAGAAACAAGCCTAAATTTATGTATAAAATGTATTTTACATAATCTATATAAAAACACATTATATAAACATATAATATAAACATATATATGTATAGTACATTTATATATCTATAAAATTTAAGAAACATGAATTAAAATACAAATCTTTTAAAAACTATTAGTGAGCCAGGGATTTATCTCAGTGGTGCCACTACCTGCCCCACAAACACAAAAGTCCCAAGTTCGATCCCCAGTACCAAAAAAAAAAAAAAACTATTAGTGGTACAATAATATACTATCCAGGTTAACACTGAAACAGTCACTAAAACAACAAAATATAATCTTCAGTGTATGTGTTAATCAAACTTATTACACTTCACTCACAATTCTGTCATTTTTTTAAAATTCTGTCATTTTTTGATTTATAAATGTTGGGAAAGCTACTTTGGAGGGGCATAAAACCGCTGTTTACAAATGGTACCTGGAAAACTTGAGCTCTAAAAGAAATGGATGAATTGAAGAACGATTATAGAAAATATTTAAATATTCTTGTGTACTAGTTCAGAAGAATTGGCCTTCTTAAGTATCAGCCTAGGTTTCTCAAGTTTCAGAAGGAAGAAATGAAGATGAAAAGTAATAATGAGAATTTATGTTGAGATTATTCTTGGCAAAATTTGAAGAAGGCAGATGCTTCATACTAAAGTATCATTTGGCAGATGGTTTTTTTTTTTAATCTAAGGAGGTGACATGGGTTGGGTGGAAGAGAATTAATGAAGAAGGACAGATGGGTGAAGAACCAATAAATAAAACAATCCTGTTCAACAACATCATACATAATACTGACTCTGAGTCATATATTGAGATTCAGTGACTATTGGAAAATAAAAAAAATTAGAAGGCTGAAAATCTAGTAGATAAATATACACACAGCACAGAGAAAAACAAAAATCTCAAAGAAAATATTTTACAAATAAATCTTTGAAAAGAAAGATAAATTCTTCATAAAATCTTAAAGTGAAATCATAATCATTTTATTGGTATAAAGAAAATACTAATGAGAGACCATAGCTAAAGAGTGAACAGTTTTTTCAAAGATTTTTTTAAAATTTTAAATAAAAGATTTGCACAAAGCAAACTGTTGTCTCTGTGCATTTATGAGACTGTTGAGTAAGGTTAAAAGGTTAAGAATTTAAATTGTAGCCACAGAATAACATAGAAGCTAAAGTCATCTTAACAGACCATATACTTCAATTTTTCTGCAGATAGCAAGTCAGAGTGATATGATTCACCAAATATCCTAAAACCTCCTAGTAGGAAAATTAGGATTAGGTCAAAGGTTTGTGACTCTTTGTCCACTTAATCAGTCATGTGACTTTGGCCTTATTAGCACCATGGTTATTGTTAAACAACCAAATAGGATCATTGAAAAATATATACATACCTTAAAACTTCCTTTCATAAATTATTTAACTAAAACATCTAATTTAACATCACAAATAATTTCAAAAGACAATATCGTTGAGTTCTTTCTTGATGTTTCCCATTCCATGTTTGTAATTCCTCAAAGAGAAACCTAATTCCTGTTATTCTCAACATACTCATTTTTGCTTAATGTAACCTAACCACTCTACCAACACAGCCTCTTTGGCTGGCTTTTGTACAACTTTTCACAAAACCACCCACTTCCTCTGACATGAGGGCACACATACTATGCCAATACAGTTGCCCTGCTCCATAGTCCACCTTACTCTACTTCCTAAGTGCCTACATGCCAAGCCAAGCAGAGAAAAGAATAAACAGAGGGCAGGAAAGGGAAGCAGTCTTAATCTTCAGTTATTTGACTTAATAACTGATCGCTCCTCTATGACCCATCACTTACTGTGTCTTCTTTTCACATCTCTCATCTTAAAGAATGAGTAACTGGTTATATTTGCTTCTGCAAATTTACTTCATATTAAACATAAGAATGCCCTAGAAGAAATCGTACTCAACTATTAAACTTGACAATTTCCAGCAACCTTTTCCCCCAAATGATAATACATAGCAAACCATATGAAAGACTTGAAACAGAAAGAAAGCTTTAAAACATCTCAAATGCTTATTTACGAAGATAACAAGCAGGAAAAAAGCCACAAAACTTAAACTATTAAAATATGTAGAAAGCACTATATACATTGTATAGTGCACTTTTGTAACATTCTGCATTACTAAATGATGACTTAGAGAATCCATAGAAGAATAATTCATGACTAAAAAAGCTGAGAAAGTAAAAATCTACCAGCCATTCATCAGAATTGGACAACAGAGACAAATAAGGCTACCTGAAAAATTAATAGGAAACATTGCTTCTCCCAAGAATATACTGCAACTGAAAATGTAACAACGTCCTATTTTGAGTGACTACTGTATTCTTACTCACTGAGAAGTCTTGTTGTCTAAAGTCACAGATTATCAAATACTTTGTTATTTAAACTTACATAAGTACGAATGAAACATCTCCCTCTTGTCTGGAAGATCTAAGTCACTTTGACACAGAACCAGCTTTGATTTCCAACACAGGTACAGATCTTCAGAGAAAGGATTTCTGAATACAGTATGCCAAGTTTATGTTAACTTAGTAGTTTTCAAGACAATAGGATCCCAGGTCTACTTTGAGGTCCAGACCGGATGTTACATAGCCCTGCTTTGTTTTGATCCCATCAAAATACTGCTTTATTTAAATTTAATGTATCCTTCTTCCAAATTGTATACTAATTTCTTTGTTTGGTGAGATTACACCTGTTGTACAGGCTCCCTCCTTGCAACAAGCCAATAAGCCTAACATTGTTAGATTCTAAGTCTGTCCCTGAGATCTTGGGCTCATTGGGCTGAACAAAATCAAAGTGAAAATTGTAGCCCAAACTCTTCACTTCTCTGGTTTATGATCATAATACTCACATAATTATATGACACATAAGGGTAGGGGAAAGGAATTAGACGGTTTACGGAACACGATTTTAGTGATCACATAGAAGAGTTCCTGAGATAAGAAAATATGTTTCATTTTCTTTATCAAGCACTCAAAGGTTATATACTCATTATACAGCCATTGGATAAGCCAACTGGAAAAAGATCCACTAGTAGAAAGCTTGGTAATACCTTCCCATCCTTTCTTCATTGTCAATCCTGCCCAGTTCCACTGCCCACCAAATCTCCCATGGAAGAAAAATTTTGTCAATAAATCATATATAGTCATTGAAGAATGACATCGCCATTCATAACTATTCTTGGTAACACTGCTGTGAAAGACAGAAAATAAACAAATGAGTAAACTCTTTGAACTACTTGGAAGAAAGGAACTTCCTAGAAAAATTTATGTGTAAATAGATCCTTATTAAGATATGTTAGATCACACTTCTCCCACAGCCATTTAGCCTTTCAGTTATATAAAATTTTAAGTCATTGAAATTTAAACCCAGACATACCTTCTTTGTAATATACTAGAACAGTAACTATTACCTTAAATTCTGACAACCATTCTTCCACAACCCCTCTCTCTGAAGTGAACATCTTTCCACATCTGTTCCAACCCTTCAATCTGAAAATTAACATAGAAAACTGTTAAAAATTTGAATTCATTTTATTCAGATTATTATAGAGATAATCCTGTAAAGATGTTACTTTTTATTTGTAAAATTAAAGTACTTCACATACAACTTACTACATTCATTTCAAGACAAATGTGTACAAACAAGCTTTAAAATGCAAAAAATTTTGATAAAAGTATAAATATTATAACATGAGGAAATTGGCTCTGCAATTTTTATTCAGCTTTGAGGAATGCCAAATGTAAAACATACTGAAAAATTTTCCATAGTTTCAGCTCAATAACTTCAAAAAAGATCATTTATCTTAAAACTGCAGAAAATAGGGCTGGGAATTTAGCTCAGTGGTGCTACCGCCTGTCTCACAAGCACAAGGTCTTGAGTTCAATCCTCGGAACAAAAAAAAAAATTTCAATGTTTGAAAAGTGCAAAAGAGATGCACCCAAAACTGACTTTATAGAAGAATTAAAGTAACTTAATGTATTTATTTTTCAGTTCCTTATAATAGTAACTGCAAGCCATTTGGTTTCTTGATAGATTAATATTCATTTAAAAATGTAAAAGTGATTAATATTCAAGATACTGATCCTATATTTAATAAGTTTTTCAGAAGATTGTGCTTTACTTAAGTATAAATAAGAAAAAAGAAAGGTAAAGAAAATGTAAGACATTTTTATCTTAAGCAAAATGTTATTAAAGTATAATATATTCTTTTCATCCATCTATATGGGAGTAAACTGAAAAACTGTTTCCTGGAGGAAAACTTTTTCTCTATCTAAACTTCAATTCATAGGTTTGTTAACTTTTATCAGCATTATAATGTAGTAGAAACTGAGGCAGAACTGCCAAAGACTGAATCCTGATTCTACTGCTTACCTGTAGTATAATTTTGCCTTGCTTTTTTTTTTCATCAGTGAAAAAGTGATAACCACAGAATTTATTTCCGAAGGATGATTGTGAGGATTAAATTTTAAAAATCAAAAAAAGCACTTATAATAGTACCTGGAAATACTATTAAAGAATAATTCAAACTCATATAACCTCTGCTCTGCCATTTATCAGAGTAGATACTTAATGAACAACATAAGTTCTTGCCAAAGAATGGATTCTACTCATTCATTCATTCATGAAGGATGACCTGAATGATATGTATCTTATTTTTGAATAAAAATAGCCCATCTTATCCTTGAATCAAGTCACACTATCAAAATATCATATATTTGTGCTGTATTATTGGTTTTATGAAACTATTTGGAACCACTGAACTTTAGAATTATGTCCAACAGGTTAACAAAAGCACACTGGATCACATAAAAGCCCACAGGGAAAAAAAAAAAAAGCCAACAGAAGAGAAAACACATCCTCAATTTTCAGTACTAGGAAAAATTCTCCTTTAAAGTAACTGAACTGTTTTTATATTATGAGTATTATGAATCTCTTAACTTATTATCTTTGCTTTGATTCTAATAAAGGTGGGAGTCAAAGTTTCTGCCCTAACTCTGACCACAAAAAAGTAGACCTAGATTAATTTTATCTACTGCTTTATTTTATATTTTACCCTTATTTTCAGAAAGAGGGGAGGTTAAATTAGATTTCACTAGAAGAACCTCTATTTATAAAAAGATACCCCTAAAAGAATGAAAGGGCAAAGTCATAAAATGGGAAATATATATATATATATATATATATATATATATATATATATATATAGCATCCAGCACATTTAAAGTACATATAAATTATTAAAACAAAGGGAAACAACTCCATAGAAAAACCACCACCATCACTTAATCAAGTGGAAGTTAACACATGGAAGGTACTCAGCTTTGTTAGTCATCTGGGAAATGTCAATTAAAAGGCACAATGAGGTCCCTGCCCCTTTGGCACAGAGCAGTGGAGCCATGCAGGGGCCAACACAGCCCCCTCCCCCACCCTGGCCTTTGGGCCAAGCCAGCACTTGGATCCATACCACAGAGGGGCAGTGAGTCAGAAAGGACATTGATCCGAGCTCCAGAAGATAGAACAGAAGTGAACAAGAGAAAGAGGGCCTCTCTGTGGCTCCTAGATGAAAACTGAAGCCCACTGGAAAAGTAAAGGAAATCTCTGCAATAAAGGCACACCAGACCACCGTAGTTGGTAGGTTGGAGGGATCACCACCTCCCATTGGAACCTGGACTATCTTCAGGGGAAGAGCAGCTGGAACCTGCAGTAGAACCTTGCAGAGTTCAACCCAGCAGGAGGTCAGAGATTTCAACTTGGGTCCTGCAGGCAGAAATCAGCCTAAACCTCAAGGGACAGCTGCTGGCTTACTGAGACTAATTGTCTTACATCTCCACACTCCTGCCCATGCTGTCTATAGTGACAGCAGAGACATATTCTGAAGGAAGCCCTTTATTTTTATTTTTTATTTTCAAAGTAATTTTTTCTCTTACTTTTAATATTTTTTTCTAATTTTTATCTATTCTTTTCAAATTTTTTCCTTTTTTCCTCTTTTCTTTTTTTCTTTGTCTTTCTCTCTCACTCTCCCCTCCCACCTTGTTCTTCATTTCTCTTTTTTATTCCTGTTCCTAGCCTAATTCGAATTTTTTTCTTACCTTTTCTTTTCTTCTCTTTTTCCTACTCTTGATTGTCATTAGTTTTAAAAGTGAATACAGTTTCTAGCCTCCCTATTGCTGTTAGGTTGTTTTGTTCTGTTGGGGTTTTTTTGGTACTGAGGATCGAACTTGGGTCCTTGCACTTGCGTGGCAGGTGGCGAAATCACTGAGCTAAATGCCCGACTCTATTCTGTTCTTGTGTTTGTTCTTTTGTTCTGTCTTCTCTTCTCTTCAACAGCTTCCTAGAGTTTGTGTGATCTTCCTGTGTCCTCTGGCTTCACTTCTAACTTTTCCCTATCATACCTATCTATCCCTCCCTCCCCAACTCCTTCAAAGTCCCCATACTGAAAAGTAAAGTTGCTATATTGAAGAGTTTATTCACTATAGACATATTTTGGGCTGGTCCTTGGCTTTGATTTAATTCACAAGTTTAAAAGTGATAGATTAATCACTACCACCAATTGTCATTTTCTAAACTGTGCTTGATGTTATTGTTGTTACTGATTGTATCACTTGGCCTTAGGTGTTGTGATTGAGCTAATCAGTTGTCCTTCCTGGTATACTGAAAATGAGATAGCCTAAGAGTCATTAGAGACTTAAAACCTAAAGGCCAGATATATCTGGAAGACACTTCTGAGAAACAATCATTCCATAAAGGTTCTAAATACAACCACAAAGGTACTTACAATAGGCAATATTGAAGTATCAACCCAGGAATTAAACCAAAAATTACCAACACAAAAATAGAAATTAGAAGACACGTAAGAAAGGCACAAAATCAGGCTACCAGCTCAGGAAAGGCAAATTCTGGGGGAACTGATGTGGAAAAGTCTAATAATTAATTACCTGGACACCCTGCACTGATAGCACAGGAAGTAATAAAACAGATGAATAAAGCTCTAGAAAAATTCAAAACAGAAATTATTTTCCAGATAACCACTGAGCAGAATGAAAGACATGATTAGAGACTCTAGAACAGAAACAGATAAAAACAAACAGATGAGCTCAGGACAATGATGGAAACCATGAATCCCCAGCATGGGAAAGAAATGGAAACTATGAACCAGATTCAAACAGATATCCAGGAGATTAAAAACTCTATTGAAAGCATTCACAGCACAATAAGCAAATGTGAAGACAGAATATCAGATATAGAAGATGGGACTGTGGTCAGTGACCATGAAAAGAGAGATCTCTTAAAAATAGTAAGGGACCATGAGAAATTGATCCAGCAGCTCCTAGATGATGCAAAGAAGAATAATATAAGACTGATAGGAATCCATGAAAAATCAGGAGAAAGTACAAATAATATTTAAAAACTTCACAGAATTAATGACAGAAAAATTCCCAAACAGAGCGAAAGAATTTGACATACAGATGAGTGAGGCACATAGTACTCCAACTAGCCATGATCAAAAAAAACTACACCTAGACATATAATAATCAAGATCCCTGAAACCCAACAGAAGAACAAAATACTACAACCAGTTAGAGAAAAGAAACAAATCACATACAAAGGGAAGCCCATCAGAATCACAGTAGACTTTTCAACACAAACCCTCAAGGCCAGAAGACCCTTGAGTAAGGTATTTCAAGCCCTAAAAGAAAACAACCTCCAACCTAGACTGATGTACCCTGCAAAACTATCTTTCAAAATTGATGGGGAAATAAGATACTTCCATGACAAAGAACACCTGAGAAATTTCATGAATACCAAACCAGCACTCCAAACAATTCTAAACAGTATCCTGGAAAAAGAAAATGAAAGTCACAACTCAATAAGGCCAAACAGAGATAATCCACCAGACAAGGCAAGAAATTAAAGAGACGGGGGGAAAATAAAAAATAAAAGAGCCAACAACAGGAAAATAACATGACAAGGATAAGCCAGTACATATCAGTTATAACCATCAATGTTAATGGCCTCAACTCAGCAATCAAAAGACATAGACTAGCAGAATGGATTAAGAAGCAAAATCCAACAATATGCTGTATACAAGAAACCCATTTAGTTCACAAAGAAATTCCTAAACTGAAAGAAAAAGGATGGAAAACAGTTCTCCATGCAACAGGAGCCTGGAAAAAAGCGGGAGTAGTTATCTTATTTGCAGACAAAATAGATTTCAAACCAAAACTAATTAAGAGAGACAAATAAGATCACTACGTCCTTGTAAAGGGAACAATCCAAGAGGAAGAGATGACAATCATAAACAAATATGCACCAAATACAAATGTCCCCAACTATACAAAACAAATATTAATGGACATGAAAAACCAAATAGGCACTAATACAATTATAGTGGGGGACCTCAATACCCAAGTGTCAAAAATAGATCATCTAGACAAAAAAATCAACAATGAAATAATAGAACTGAACCAAGCTTTAGAAGAAATGGACT